CTAAGTACAATACTTTTAAACAACAACTTCATTATAAAAATATTCTCTATCTTAAACAACTTTGCTTTGCAGACAACAACACTTTTTTAGACTAGTCATATCTATCTCCTCAACTCTTATATATCTCTAAAGAGAAAAAAACCACTCTGGTTTACTTATCTTAAAAATTCTATTCTTAATAATAATATTCATCATACTATTACTTTTCATCTTCAACTTACTAGTATTAACTCATTTGCATATCAAACTAATCTATTTTTCAAAACTGACAAGCCTTGGGTATTAATCTATTTTAACAATATTATTATCAATCAAGTTTAAAAAACCTTCTTTCAATCTAATAAAATCTCTATAACATATTAGCAACACAATATTAATACTTTTACCCCATACTACTATCTTTTATTTCCAATTTCTTATACTTCTTGCCAGGGTTACAATTTTAACTTCCATCATATAACTAGTCATTGCATTCTAGAAGTATCAACTATTCTTTCTATCTACTTTCTTGAAAGAAAAAAAGCTAACAAGCAACTTAACCTCAATACTAATTATATTAACCTTATTCACTCTACAGATATTAAACATTCTTTACATATACTATCTCTGCTTACTATCAATATTATTGATTTAACTATTTTAAACATTTTTTACAAAAGTGAAGCTTCCAAAAAACTATTTTACATTGCACTTTCTAATTTCTCTCAACATCAGTTTATCTTTTATACAGATGGCATTGTAAAACAAATTGGCACTGACTATTGCTTTATAGGTATTAGCTAGATTCAAGTTCATAATAGTTATATTATCTAAAGCTTTTCTGCTCAAATCTCCAATTGGCCTTTCTTCTATAAAGCTGAACTAATTGTAGTCATATCTGCTATATCTATACTTCTTCACAACTTCTTCATCAAAATCTTTACTAACTTATAATCTATTATTTCTAAATTTAACAAACTTCAATTCCTTTTATTTTACTTCTCTAAACTCTTTAAATTCAATACTTGGCCTATTTGACATATACTTTTTAATATATTAAAATCTTAATATTTAACTTACTTTTTATAAAGTTCAAGCCTACTTAAATAATTTTTTTAACAACTTTGCTAACCTGCTTGCAAACAACTATTCTACCTCATCTATTCTAAAATTTAATTATATAAATCTCTACAATCCATACTCTACTCTTTTCTGAAATAATATCTATATTGAAAGCTTTACTAGATACTTTATTAAAACAATTTGCAAAGCATATACTATTGCATTATAGTCTTTACAACAACATGCCCAAGAATAGTTACACTTTTTTTACTTAATTAACTGTCAAGCCTCCTGGCTATACTTTAACAATAACCAAAAAATTTTACATAATTTTATCAATTTTAAATTAAATTACTTAAAATCCTTCAAAATTAAATTACTTCTAAATATTTTACCAACTAATTTTTATTTTTATTCTATATATCTTTTTATATTTATATCTTCTAACTGCTTTTCTTATAATAGCCTAGATACTTCTTCTTAATAGTATACATATTTTAATAATACTCTTCTAATTCAAAATATCAATACTTCTATTCATATGATTATTACTAATGCTAGTCTCAATCTTACTTTATATTAATTTAACAACTTAATATATACGATTTCCTCTTACTCTTTCTTCAACTTCTTATCTTTTACTTTATATCCTTATTCACTTTATTCTACACTTAAAGGCCTTATTCCCAAACTCTTAATTCAATCTCTAAACTTCTTTGATATTTCTTATTCTCAAGCCTCACAACTAATTATATAAATACTTCTTAAAATTTCTGATCTCATTTACAATAATAATATAGTATAAACTTTTTATAATAGAAAAAAGCCTATCAGATTTTGACTTGTTTTACATCTAATACACTACTTCATCTCTTTTTACTGCAAAATTATAAAAAAAACAAACCTATTTCTACAATCAGCTGCCTTTGTGGCTTTGCTAACCACTTATATTCTGAATCTAATATCTGCCTTCCTTTAAGACAAGCTTCTTTAAAAATAGACATTTGGTCTACTGTGTGGATTAAACATAGCATATCTATTAACTATATTCTATTTATCCAAATCTAGATAAGTCTTAACCACTCTAGTAGATTTAGGTTGCAGATAATTTTATCTAAGCTTTTATTCTTGTATATAATTTATATTTATTTGTTTGTATACAAATTAAGTTTTTTATATAGCTTTATGTAATTACTTATATAAATTATTAAATAAAGATATGAGCAAAACCTCATCTTAATACCAAAAAAAAAAAAAAAAAAAAAAATTTAAATTGCTATATATTATTATGATTATAAAATATTAAAAAGAAGATTTACTAAATAATTTCTTTTTTGTATACCTGTTAATCTATCATTTTTTTTATTAATTATAAATATATCATCGTTGGTTTTATAATCTTCAATATTATTATTAATATTATTTTTTTCACTTTAGCATCTTCTAAAAACAACAAATCTCCATTATCAATATATAAATTATATAAGATACAGCATGCATGAATAACTTTAATGATATATTCCAAATCTGTACAATAAATTTCTTTTATCAAAATTCTTTATTGTTTCTTTAACTGTCCAAATGCTCACTTAATAACTATTCTCATCAAAGAAAAAACTTTGTTAAAATATCGCTTATGATGTGTTAATAAATTATAATTAAAAAATCCTTTTATCAAGTAAGTTTTAAAATGATAAATAGTATTGACAATAATATATGTACTATTAGAAACCTATTGTTTAGAATATAATAAAATTTCATAATATAGTGAAGAGCAATAAAACATATAAACATTATAAATACTATCTTTAATATTAAAATAAATTTTATTTAAAAATAAAAAAAATTATACACATAAATATAAAATATAAATATATAAAAAAAAATTATATTAAACCTGTTTTGCCAATATATATATATATGAAACATTTTTGAAAATCAACAATTCTAAAAGGATTAATCAAATAAAAGCTTTTTCAATTTACAAATCATGTGCCATTTTTAAAAGGAGAATGAATTGGTATATGCAACCTATCCATACCCTAATAATATTAGATAATCTACGATTTTCTAAACCAGTTTCTTTATATTCAAATCTATGTATTACTATAGCTAATTGAACACCATATGGCTATATTATTTGATCTTTTTTTATATCCAATAATGCTTCTAAAAACTGATTTGTAAAATGATATACTGATTCTTGACTAATCTCAAGTATTTGTTTTAATGTTCATATGCTTGCTTCATTTGCAAATTACTATAATACAATAGCAATTTGTTTCTATATAAATATTGTATTAAAGGTTTCTAAAAAAAAAGCTAGATGATTTTCTAAACATCTAATAATATAGTTAAAAGTGGCAAAAGTAATATGAAAGTGCTGTTGAAATCAATTATAACCTTCTTCATCTGTTAAATATAGAAAAACTTCTAACCAGAATTTTTTTGTTTGGGTTTTTGTTGGCATTGAGTTTTTATATTAGATAAAAAAAATAAATATAAAATTGTTATATATGATATAAAAGTTAGAAGATAATAAATATTGGCAAGATTTGTTCTTTGAGTTTCTTCAAATTTTTTATTAACAATAAGAGTTTTGAATATAAAAAACAGTATAACAATTTTTTGATAATTATAATTTTGTTGAAGATCTATAATATAAAGTGCTTAAGAGTAGGGGGCATGTTGATCATTTTTCATATAATATTTGTGGTACAACATGATTTTTGCAAAAAATAGAAACATGCTACTAATAAAACTTTTCACAGTTAGGCCACACAAACTTAATGATTCGGTTTTCATAACCCGGCCGGGTCAAAACTTACAAATTTTTTAAAAAAATTTTAAGTATATTTACTATCCGGGTAAGTTTTTTAAAAAAATCTATAAAAAATTTTATATGTTTTTTATATATAAAATTTTTTCAAAATAAAATTAAAAGCCGGGTTGCCGGGTCACTTTTAAAAATTTTATGTTATGAAAACCGAATTATTAAGTTTGTATGGCCTTATTATTAAAAATAATAAAAATATTAGAAGCCAAAATTTAATTAGCCAATATTCATAAACCGAATTTTCATCTTCAGTTTGTGTTGAGTTAATTGATTGACTCTCTTGGTTGATTGATGATGTGGAAGTTTTAATTAAAACTTCTTCTTTATTGATCAACTCAGATGGTTGATCATTTTCATTTGCAAATAGTGTAGTCACCTTTTTTCCATCTATTTTTAATTTTATCTCATTCTTTATTATAATTAAATTCAACTAACATAATGTTTTCTGTTGAAATATTAAGTTTTTCTTATAATGTTTCTGGTTAAAACTTTTTTTTTTGTTAAATTTTTTTACAATTTTCTTGACAAAGAACATTTTTACAATAAGATTGTATAAATAAATTTGTTATTATGTAATTTATAGTTAGTGAATTTAGTAATTTCACAAAGAAATTAGCCATCTGTATGCATCTGTAACTCTTTTTATAACTTTATTTTTATTTGTATAATTAAACTAAATTGAGTAATAAAATTTTATTAGTACATAATAAGAATTTGGAATTTAGTTAGATGTTAAGTTTATTTGAATTGATTCTTTAATTAATTCTTTAATAAAGAAATTAATATGTTTATTTTTGTAAATTGTTTTATTATTATGAAAAATTTTTAAGCTTTCGATATTTAGGCTTAAACTAATAAATTTTTTATCTTGATTATAACCTACTTTATTTTTTATAATCAAAAAAGAAAATCCTTTATTTTTTGCTTCTTTAATTGTGATGAGTTCATTATTTTCTGTAATTCGAATTCTCACTAAAGTAATTTTTTCTCCTTTATTTTTTTAAAAATTAATATTAAAATCACCATTTTTGGTTATATAAGAAATATTTAAAAAACAGGTTATTTTAGCTATTTTTTTTACATATAAATTAAGTATTATTAGTATATTTATACTAAATTAAAAATGTCTGAAAATATTAGTGAACTTGAAAAGCTCATAAAATGTAATCTTTCTATTATTGAGAACCAATCATCTTCGTCTATGTCTCAAGATGGTAATTTTCAACAAACTTTAAATAATTTAATTGATTTGGTAAATAAAACAATTGTTGCTTCTAAACATTGTGAAAAATTTGTAAAAGAGCAGAATGAAGAAATTAAAGGCTTTTTATTGGTTAATACAAATTTGGTATGTGAAGTTGAACATTATCAAATTTTTGGTGCAACAAACAAAGTTTATAATATATTTCAAGATTATTTTAGTAAATCCTTAGATTATTTGTTAAATTTTATATTAAATTTTATGCCACTTATTGATATTATTAAACAACAAATTAAAATGATTATTGAACAAAAAGTAAATGAATTATATAAAAAAACATTAAATTCAAAAGTGTATTTATTTTTTGTTTACTTACATTCATTTATAATATTTAGAGTATTTCAATTTGTTATTATAAATTTTTATGTATATTTTTTTAGATTTTATAATTTATCGCCATGGCGACGTATCATCACCCTGATCAACCAATTAGAGTGCAGGATCAGGTGTAATGTGAAATCGAAGCAATTACGATTTTTTTTCAAAAATCGG